GGTTTTGGTTCAAAAATGGAATACATCATTCCAATTCTCTGTAAGCTACACTGGCTGCCTGTGCATAAACATATCATCGTAAGATTCTTCTTGCCACCTACAAGGTATTAAAATTAATGGTCTTGCTCCTGCATGTAAGTACTGCGGCCAATTTACTAGTCTTACATCTACCAAACAGGCGTCTTTGCTCAAACACTACAGACAACCCATGACTTTACAAGCTAATGCTTAGGACAAAGAAATATGGTGGTCATGCTTTTTCATCTTGTGTACCCATGTGTTGGACTGACCTTCCATTAGATGTACAAAGTCCCCATGTCTATTGATACTTTTGAATATGGACTTCAAACTGTTTTATTTAAATTATCTTTGAGCATGTAAATCTAGTACTTTATATTTAATTTCTACATTACAAAAAATTATTGTCAAGGTTTCACTGGATCCTAAATTACCTATATAGAGCATTGAGATTTTAATGATGTGATGCACTCAAAATAAATTATTATTATTTATAATTAATATCGAATGATATACTGCATCCTACAAAAATTTTGAATGGTTCTTCCTTATGATCTGAACTGATGCACAGCAAAAAGGTAAATCATTCTACAGTCATATTTTGTTTTTTTGGTTCTTCTTGGGTTGAAGCAGTGATGAGATACTGTACATCCTAAATTATCTGATTGTCCAACAGAACGCATAACCAACAAAATTACTTTAAACACTATTCGCTCCCACGAACATTCTTTCTTTAACTTTTGTCCCCATTTAGGGAAGAAAATCTTTTAATTTCCCAGATCTATTCCCGGATTAAGTGTTCTTCAATTATAAACCAATCACATATGGACCAAGTTTTACAACTGGCAAATCCTCATCTGACAAGCTGACAGTGAACCCTCATTTACAATTTTGTGACAATTCTAACCTATCAGAGTATTATGAAAATCAACTACTGGCCAAGCTGTTGTCCAAAGGAAATTCGTTTACTCATAATTGGCCCTTAAAACATGAGAATATGAGAGTTTCTACCAAGATGTACTTAGATGTTTACATTAACCTTATAACAATTTGGATATATAGAGAAAGCAAAGGTATTATGGCAATCAGGAAATAGTAAACAGAAGTGGTCTTTGTTCAAATACAATTATAGTGGAAACATTTATTATTACTATTTCAGGAACCATTTAATCAGTGAATAAGAGAAGAAAAACCCACTTACTATTCCACTATGATGGCATGCTCTCAAGAAAAACGTCCCAAAATCTTGACTTGTTGTGCAACTTTTATTTTCTGCTCTAGAGTGTATTCTCTCGTTGTCTGTCTTCGTCACCAAAGTGCTACTCTCACTCACTAATCGAACTAATTTTGCTCTACCAGGGTAGGAAGGAATCAGTTTCCGGGCGGCTTTTAGTCTCTTGCTGAAAGTCGAGCTGGGAGAGAACCGTGATTTTAAAGAGCCAGAAATTTCAGGAGTTTGATTGTCTTCCTCTTTCAACTCCTTGTCGTGATCTGGACTAAGTGACTGAACAGGACTTATTGAAGGCATGATAGAAGCCACAAAAAGCAATCGGAATGTTAATGAAACGTCAGATTTAGGCAGTTGACACTGAAAAATCTTTTGAATCTGTCTCTGTAGGTAAACAAAATGGCGTGGTTGTATCTTATCCAATGGTATGTAATCGTATGGAATTTTGATAATATTATTATTGTCACCTGGGTATTGATATGTCTAATACGATAAAATCCACTCGTTTCACTTGGATTGTCCTCTTCCTCTTAAGCCATTATGAGGCAAATTGTTTGGAACTTGTTGCCAAATGTTTTGATTCAGAGGACGAGATGAATACAAACGCACTTCAAAATATTTCCTGAGATAGGAGAAGCAAAAACAAAAAAAAAAGGTTACCAGAAGTCTAACTGATACGCACGACTTCTTGATATTAATGCCAATCCTTTGCCACGCAGAATTCGTGAACACCGTCAATTATTTATGATCCACGGGGAAAAGAGCCTTATCTACCTGCATTTCTTTAAATCTCGTGACTTGGGTGACAGCAACACGTTCTAGCGCGCGCCAAGCTTTAAAACATTTCTAACGCATAGCTTTGAAACGTGCGTAATTTTGCACAAGGCTTAGAGACATCCATTTGTTGCAGCCATAGTAGAAGCAGAACCTTGGAGTTTTCTGTCCGACAGATCCAATTATTAGCTTTGTCGGCGAGAAAATAATTCCGTCACTTTGATAAGCATCGACACTTGGAATCTCCATCTCGACCGATCTCGACCGCCATCTTGAATGAAACTGAGCCTGCTATTAGCAGCCGCTGATATAGTTTGAGCTCTTTGATTGGTCAGTAACTGGACCATTAAATTTGATTGGTTAAATTGACAAAAGGTTGCAGTTGATTTTTGTGGAAAAATGAGCAAGAGTCCCAATTCCCATGCCAGAGTGTGCTTAAGTAGACTGACTAGAATCTTGGATATTACCATGCTTGAAGACTTGCAACAACTAGGATATACGGGAGATGTCGCAAGAAATCTGGAGATCGAAAGTAATTCGAAACCTGCAGCACAGAAAAGTTTTTTCTACAAATCATCGGCAAAGATAAACAAGATCATCAGCAGAATAGGTGAGAAATGGTTAACAAAATGAGTTCCCATCAATTGAAAATATTGCTCCAAAATGTTATAGTTCTCAGAAAGAATCTAAGAAATAGGAAGCCTACAAACCCTGAACTAAGTGATTTTCCTGCGGTTCGACTAATGACATGTAAAGCTTATTATCTTTCGATACTCTGTGATAAGAGGCCTTATTTTATAGCCGGCTTAATTTTTTAAAGAGTACTTAAAGAGTGCCTCTGTTCACGATGACACTGTCTTAAGTAGTGAAATCCTCAAGAAAAATCTTTTCTTCAAAATGTTACTCCTTAAAATCGTGTGATAACGTAATTGTTATGACAAGCTCTAAAGCCTTTTATCCAATCACCAGACATTACTTACAAGTTTTTAAAGGCTTAATTAACCACATTTACAGTGACATGTAGGCACAGTGCACCAGACTGCTATGATGCAGTTTGTTGTTTATTATTTCTAACAAGGATAATTTTTCCTTTTCCAGGGAGTTACAAAATATTTGGCCATTTGCTTACAGAGGAAGCTGTTTTTAAAATCACAACTCTCAGATTCAGTTACTTAAAGTCAAGTACTAAGTCATTAGTTCTAGGTTGCTTATGGAGTGCTGTGCATTTCAGAGGAGAGGAAATACACTATAAACCTTGCAACTGAAAAGTTTATAAAGAAATGTACTGCCAATTAACCCAGTCTTGAACTTCTGAAGTGGGATCTAATGGCTTGAAAGTACCCTTTTAATGTACTTATTAGTTTTCGACTATGGATCCAAAGCAAATTAATTTGCCTCTTTCTCAAGGTCCTAATATTGATTTAAGAAACAGTTAATTTGTGTTACACCATTAGTGTAATTTGATTTCTTTTGTTTGCCAGAGATCAAGATATAATTATTTGTTACCATTCTTACAGATGTGGATAACAAAGGCTTGTTTAGAGTTCTGGTAACAAGAAAAGACAAGAAGAACTAAAAGAGTCATGCTTGACAAAGAAGATCCTGTTGATTTTGGAAATGGAAGATTTACTCCCCATGATGTGGCATCTGTTCTTAAAATCTTCCTCAGAGATCTTCTGGAACCTGTTCTAACAAATGCTCCTCTGGATGCTTATCTACAAGTCACAGGTATTTTTACATTCAAGTATAACCAAAATTTAAGTCCAGTTCTAGTCACTGTGATTAACCGATAGTTTATTGTGTTGGGGTATGTAGGACCTGTTTATGCTGACCTTGGTACTCATTCATTTTGTATCTTGCATAAGCCTGTCTGTTATTTGCTGGCACTCACTTTGTACCCAAGGTGGTATGCAGCAAATTCTGTTTTCTGATTGGGTACCATTGCCTGCTCAAGATTCCCTGCATTGATCCCACACACAAAAAAAATTGCAGGGACCTGCATACTCACAAAGTTGGTAATTAATTTTTTTGGCAGTGGAGTTGCAATTAAGCAGCAGACTAGACAGTCAAAATGAAGATTAAACAGAAACAATTTTCGTGAGTTTATTCAATTTGTACTACAAAAACTAAAAATACTAAAACTTTAAAGACCAAGTGCATTCAAAGAACAAGATGAACATGAGCATGAGAAAAATTTGCTTTGGAACACTTCTTTTTAAAGTCCTTAAATTAGGTTTATAGTTTCTCTATATTATAATGCAGTATTTATTACCTATGCATATGGCTGAAATGACATGATCTAATACCATGAACTGATCTTATGTGTAGAAATCCGTAATGATGAATCCAATGCTAAGATGATTGAAGCATTCCAGCTTCTCTTCTTGTTGGTGCCACCCCCAAACAGAATGTTGTTACAGCAGTTGTTGAAACTCCTCAATCCTCACAATAAAATGACAGCCCACAACCTTGCTGTTGTCTTTTCACCCAACATTATGGGCTTTAAGGAGGTATGTACAGTGCTCATTTATCATCATGTCCTCAGTACTTAATAGTTATAACCCTTTTTGCTCTCTGATGAGTGACCAGGACATATTTTCTCCTTAGTCAATATCAATACATGTAGCAAGCAGACAATTTTGAGAATAAAGAAAACTATCAAAATAATAGGGGATTAGTAGTTGATACAAAACCAAATTCTCCAAACTAAAATCATAAGTATTGTATGGCAGACAGTAAGGAGAATTAGAAATAATGAGATTTGGGATAGAAAAGGTTATTCAGTGGCATTAACCTACAGGTTATGCTGTCAAGCATAAGATGGAATTTGGTGAAGCAAAACTGTCCACTCTTAAGTTTCTTTAGAACAAACTGCCAATAGTGTTTGACCCTGTGAATTCCCAACAAGTGTGTAGAATCTCATTTTTCTCCTCCCAGAGTTACCCATGAATCATACACTCAGTAAGTTTGGCTTCTTTGATGAACACTAGGTCATTGTAACCTGTTTTGTTTCAACAGATCACCACAGGCAAGTAATGAGCACACACCCATTGTGTTTATTTCCTCTGGACGCAGGCTGTCAGGTAAACCTGTCTCTTTCTCTTTGATTACTGGACCCCTGTCAGGTAAACCTGTCCCTTTCTCCTTGGTTACTGGACCCCTGTCAGGTAAACCTGTCCCTTTCTCCTTGGTTACTAAGACAGTTATAGCCTCTATGGCTTCTTTGATGAACCCTGTTTTGTTTCAAAAGATCACCAAAGGCATGTAATGAGCACACACCCATCATGTTTATTTCCTCTGGATGCAGGCTGTCAGGTAAACCTGTCCCTTTCTCTTTGGTTACTGGACCCCTGTCAGGTAAACCTGTCCCTTTCTCCTTGGTTACTGGACCCCTGTCAGGTAAACCTGTCCCTTTCTCCTTGGTTGCTGGACCCCTGTCAGGTAAACCTGTCCCTTTCTCCTTGGTTACTGGACCCCTGTCAGGTAAACCTGTCCCTTTCTCCTTGGCTACTGGGCCCCAGTCAGGTAAACCTGTCCCTTTCTCCTTGGTTGCTGGACCCCTGTCAAGTAAACCTGTCCCTTTCTCCTTGGTTAGCTATATCACAATGGTTACTAGCCTAACCAGCCTTCCCTTATTCATTATCATCATGACAGACTGAAACCAATTATATGTGTTCATGGAGACAGAGCCATCCTCATTGCGGACCTTATTCATTATCATCATGACAGACTGAAACCAATTATATGTGTTCATGGAGACAGAGCTGCCAGCCTCGTTGCGGACCTTATTCATTATCATCATGACAGATTGAAACCAATTATATGAGTTCATGGAGACAGAGCCAGCCTCATTGCGGACCTTATTCATTATCATCATGACAGACTGAAACCAATTATATGTGTTCATGGAGACAGAGCTGCCAGCCTCGTTGCGGACCTTATTCATTATCATCATGACAGATTGAAACCAATTATATGAGTTCATGGAGACAGGGCCAGCCTCATTGACCAGTGCTTTAAGAATTGAGACCCTTAAGAAATTTAAATATTGTAAAAAGAAATCCCAAGAAAAAGAGAGTAGTCAAAAATGTATTGTTTATTGTACCTGTAATGATAGAGCTATGTCACTGAAACTCAAGAAGAAATTAAATCAGGTCAGTGATTTTCCATCCCTTCTAGTAATTCCCTTAACTTACATGGATTAATGGAGTCTGTAGTAAATGATGGGAAAATTTGATGTATTGCTTACCTAAAACAACAACTCTACAAAGTCGTGTACATATAATTATATAGATATATCTTAATTGCCCCTTCTGAGAGTCGGCTCAAAGGTTTCTCAGTCTTTTAGTATGTTTATTATAATTATTATAGCTGGACATGCAAATTAATACTTAGCAGAATGCAATTTAAGTTCAAATTATAGCTTTTTTACAAAAGATAACTCAGTTATGAGTTTCCTAATTGACTACCAAAAGATTGAACCATTTGAACTATTCTCAAAAATAAATTTGACCCTTTTTTTTAAACTCTTTAATTGTTACACTATAATGAAGTATGTTATTTTTCTGAGTATTAACTTACAGTAAAAGTTGTCTGTTGCAGTTAAGTGTCATAATTAAATTTAGAAATTATCCCTAGATTCTGTGAAATACTTGATGCAAGAGCGGTACATCGATGAGCTTGTGTTCAAATGCTTGACACTGGAATGTGATTTGGGAAGTGCAGTAAATCGCCTGATAACACAACAAGGACAATTTGCCGGTATCTATCATGAAGCATTTGGGGAATTCATGCTAGATTTTTTTCAGTTAAATTAAAAGTCTCACATTATTTTTCAGAGTGTTTTATATAGTCAGAGTTACAGAGAATTTTGGATGGTGTATTCTGCCTGAATTGCTCTTTAACTAGATTACCTTCCAAAAAAAAAAATACAAATTGTAAAACAAAGGGAAAAAAACCTGGATAGTATTCAAATTGGGATGTGTTGTATGTTTGGATCCATTGCTTACGATAACTAAGCAGTGGAATTAATTGCAAGCAAATCAAACCACCAATTAGCAACAGTTTCTTCTCTTAATTAAATGACTGGTGGCTCGACATTTTGTGAAACATGTTTGTTCTGGTTTTCAGTTTCTCCCTGTACATATATAGTCAAGAGCTTTTTTGTGATGGACACTAATAAAATGAATATAATCAAGCAGTGAAGCTGTGTGCATGATGATAATGTTGTTGGCAGAGCAATACACAATTTAGTTCCTTTCAGAAAATTGTATCATTACTTCTAATCACTTCTGAGAATTTTTGTCATTTATAACTTAGAGTTGACTTCAATTTGACTTCATTTCCTCTTCATTTCTGTTTTTATCTGAACATGCAATATAGCCCTTTTCAGTCTGCATGGTGAATACTTGCACACTTTGTAAATTAATAAACCAAAATATCATTTATGAATGCCAGATAATAATTTGATAGCTTTGATAGCTTTACAAGGGAGACATTCTCTGAAATTCCTTCAAATTATTGTTGCAGTTACTCCCAAATCAAAGAGACCTGGCATTGTAAGGAAAAGGAAATTTGACACAGCTTTTTTATCATCAAGGAACAACTATGATTGTAAATTAAGGTATGATATTGGATTATCGCCGTGGAACAAGCTTGGTTGTCTAACTCAGTCCTTCATTGTGTGAACTCCAATAATATCAGCCTATTATTAACTAAAACAATAAGCTGACATGTTTTTGGTTATTTATTTTTCTAAAGTTCCACATTAAATAAAAGTGATCTCTAACTGTATTCCTGAAACTTTCACCTCGGTTTTGGGATTTTCCAAGGTTAAAATATCTTTAAAACCGACATTTCAACCAGTTTTACTGGTCAAGCTGAGGAAGACCAGTAAAACTGGTCGAAACGTAGGTTTTAAAGATATTTTAACCTCGGAAAATTTTAGAAATCATTCAAAAACTTTTAGTTTAAATAAAAGTGACACCACTGGACTGAAAAGAAAGAAACCTAGGTCTATGGGTTTGACTTTCCTTGAACAAAAGGAACTTCACTTGGACATGGAAAAGAAAAGGTCAGAAAATTAAGAGCTGCCACTCTTGAAGTATCTGTCATAAAAGTGTTTATCTAAAAGGGAAACTGTATGGCTTTAAGTCTGATTTTGAACTGACAGAACTTTACATGTGGCTGTTAGTTCCCAGTCTCCAAGAGTGATGAGGAGATTAATTTTATTTCCAGCTTATAATGCTCAGGCCAATAACACTACATACGATCAGGTTTTTGGTTGCTAATAAGCAATCACCACAAGGATGGCCCCAGAGATAGTCAAATTCTGGCCTGCTAGGGCAACTCTGTCGCATTCCCAGCCAAGCAAGACCTTAATTTGTTCAATGGCTGGTATGGGTAGAGACAGTTAAAAGTCTAAGATTGCTTTCCAGTAGGCAAGTACGAGAAGAACAAACTTAATTGTATGCTATATAGCTGTTAGTGATTTATCTGGTGTATAGTATTATCCATTTGTAACCCTGTCAAGAATGAATTTGTCCATGCAATATTTACATTTAGATCTTGGGAGAGTAAGGGTTAAACTTCCTGGAACCATGATACACTTTTGGAAAGTCACCATTAATTTTACAAGCCTTTAAAGCCAGAATCCATCATAATCTTAATCTGAGGAATGATTATTGCGATGCTACATGTACTGTAGCAGCTGCTGTAAAATCAGTCCTTTTTTATAACAGCTGGTTAATTATTACGAATAATCGATTGCAACTTTTGAGAAATGGAACCCAGGAGTGTGAATAATTATTAGATATCTACCTATTTGATCAAATATAGGGAGCGAATCACAAACTCATGGCACTGGTTGCAGCAGCTTGTGCCAAACTGTGATCCATATGCAGACAAGGCCATTGCACTTGAGATAATTAAGTGTAAGTTGCATATTTTCACCACTGCTGGAATTACCATGGTTCCTTCTTACAACAGATCAACAAGGTATGCACAGTTCTACAAAATTAATGTTATGGTATGGTCAAGTGAAAAGAAGTTAAGTTACATTTGGTTATTAGTTAAACAGGTTACATTCAGAAGTCTTAGGGCCTGATTACATGAGCCGGGCTGATTTCTTTTGTTTTCACGCTTTGGCGAACACCAAAACAAAAGAAATCAGGCCGGCTAACCGGGCTAGCCCGGCTCATGTAGTCAGGCCCTTAGAATAATCAATGTATTCTCCCAGAGGAAACAGGCCCCAAAGAGGAAGGAAAAAACGGAGAAGGAACAAGGATGGCTAAGTTTTAATAGAAGAACAAACTTTAACCTACACGATACTACACAGCAGCATGAAATATGAATTTTCCTAGCTTATTTTGAGGAAATTAAAAAGGTCTTTAGCCATGGTGTCTCTCACTGTTATTTCATTAAGAGTATAAGCCAGTGTCTTGATATTTTTTACCTAACATTAAACTTGCTTCCCTTCGAGCCTTCTTTTGACATTTTGTTGACAGTCTGACATGGGCTGTACTTTTTCTTGCAAGCTCAATTTATGCTCTCCAGCTCAATTACAGAAAATGGCTTTGACAAAAATAATACATTATCATCTATATAAGAAAACACTCCTTGGGTGCAGAATATCATGTTAAATTTGGCCGAATATTTAGCAATACATGTCCACTGTTCACTGCAATAGTTGTCTTATGTTAATAATGATAAGAAAACAACCAAGCAAGCTTATTCCTATAATCTTACTTTTAGAATACAATCATAATTTTCAACAGACATTAATCCTCCCATTGGGAGAGACCTTGTGGCATTCTGATCTTTTGATTATGCTTTAAGCACTTGATTCACATTGTTGCTCTAGATACATCAACAGTCATGTTTTTGCTTTGAAACAGGATTGCTCATCACTAATTTAAGGCAACGATTTCCCTAGAGGACATGGAGAAGAAGGTTATGGAAATTCTTACAAATGAAAGAAAAGCATTTGGAAGTAGGGAAGAGCAGTCATGAAAACTTGTACAACCAGAATATTTAAATTTCCAGAGTAAATGTCCGTTGTAATCACTTGCTTTTGAAAAGTCTCAACATTCACAGAAATCTATTTTTATTTACTTTATATCAATAACAATACCAAACACAAAACTAAGTGGCAGCTTGAAGAATTAATTGTAACGAAGTGTTTTGTAAACAAAATAGTGGGTAAATCAAAAGGGCAGGCCAATAACTACAAATTGGTAAGTTTCAACAGTGTGGTATCACAATTTCTTTTATTACAGTTCAAGTAATTTTTTAATTCCTTATAATTACTTATCCAAGAACTTTTAGGAAATAATAAAATTGATGTTTTATATCTCTTCCTTGTCAGAGTTTGTAACTTTTAGACCCTACAGCTTAATGAGTAAAGACGTACATGTATGCTTTTCAAACCTCCATTAATAGATCTGATTGACTTTTATGTTAGCAGTCTTATGATAAAATACGCACTTGTAATAAATAAAACTTTATTGAATAGAAGGGATGAAAATCATTACATTTCAGAAATACTTCTGAAGCAAAACTGAGATAATTAAAAGGTTTAAAACTAACAACAGTGACACAAAACAAGCCAACAAATATTCTACCAATGACCAAATAATAATACATCCCGGTCCAAGCAGTCTTGGCAAGACCATAACCTTGAAGAAATTTCTCAACGCGATCCATACCTTTGGCTCATGACATCTCAGGAAATGTGAGAGATCAGCTGCTTTAAAGTGAGTAAAGTCACCCTGCAAAATAAAGCATAGTTTCCAACTTATGAGGTACCAGAGAATATCGCAAGACCAACGCCCCTTGTGTAGACTTTTTAATTGGGATTTCTTATCGAAGACACTAGCAACAGCAAAGAAAGCTATGCTTTCTCCCAAATTTCAGCGAATCAATAGGTTCTTGTGACCGTGACGTCAATAAACTTGCGAGAAGAGAGAGATTTTACATGCAACGGCACGTAAAAGGTTTTGAGAATTTCCCTTGGGACTTCTACGGCCATTAACATTTCGGCCATGAGAGTGTGGAGTTATCCGATTTGCTAAATCCACATGTGGTAGCTTTTACGCGAATGAGAATAGACTACTTATTTTAGTCTGTAACTACCTAGGTGATGCTACGTCTGTCAAATTTGGAGTACTGCTTTGGTGCTAATGGACATGTATAGCGTTTGGCGGTACATGTAAGTAGAAACATACGCACGCGCACGTACACAAAGACACAAACGAAATTTTGCACAGACGCTCTCTGCACAACGCTTATGCTGAGTAATTCTCAGTTTTTCAAATCAACAACTTATGAAGTTCCATGAAAATCCCAAGTTTGTATCTATCGCAAATGCTTTTGTTCTTTTGTATCGCTATACTATTATACTTTGTCTCAGACCCAAGGTATAAGAAAAAGATAAAAGAGCAGCTAATTCAAGATAACTTGTCTTAATTTTGAGTATCAAGTGCTTTTCATGTTGGCAGAAGCTTCGTTAATCATTGCATACTCTCGTTCGTTCGCTTCATCGGGGGCCCGGCCGTCCGCCTTAAACATAAAAAAAACTCTCGTTCGTTCGCTAATAAACGAATACAAGGACAAACGTAACGGAAGCATTAGAATTAATGTCATTTCCAGTTCTCCTTTTCTGTGAGCTTATTTCCTTTAAAATTAGTTCTCCTTAAAACTGTGCGATAATTCACCACGTTCGTTTAAAGGCAGCGAGAAGCAAAAGATTATAAACCGTATTCTCTTAGTGAGAAACCTTTAGTAACGTTCAGTTAGAAACTGTTAGTGAGAAAGTGAATAAGGCCTATTGACATGGAGGTGGGGGCCCCAGGTACGTGAGGTAACCTGTCTAAGTGGGGTGACCCGCCTAAGCAGGATGACCGCCTAAGCGGGTAGCCCGGTCTGCCAGGTAGGGTAACCCTGTCAACCAGGGTGACAATCTACCTTGTAAACGCCTCAAGGTGGGTGTAACAATAGGCAATGTTTAGCAGTAGCCTCGTTTGAGTGTTTAAATTTAAGGGGCGGACGTTTCTAATAACGAGTCAGTTGATGTAACACTTGATGGCAGATATTAAAACGATTCCTTCGTAACTAAACAGTGGGGTAGCCCGCCTGACCTGGAAAAAAGTTCAAAACCGAAACAAGCGTGTTTTAAAACTTTGTATATTTCCTAGCTGTCCCATACAGAACTAAAACGTTAAAAAACACCAACTTTTACGTCCTATTACCGATGAAACCTCTAAAGTTTACCTTGAACTCAACACTATGCGCATTCATACGTTATCGACTTCATACGTTATCGACTTAATCCATGACGGAGTATGATAGAATCACAGTGCCAAAACAAGTCCAAAACAGCAGAGATCACCAGAAACTGCAACGGACATACAAGGATGTCAAATATTCCCATTTCGGGATATTCAGTTTAGCGTTCTAAATCGACCATGTTTCGTTTCCCATACTTTTCCATATAACGTATCAACGGTTTCAAATTGTCAACGGTTCCTTGTGTAACCCGTAACATGCCTAACACAACGCGTGACGCCTTTATGAATAAACACAAGCGTGTCCGGAATAAATTTTCTGTCCCTCTCGAGACGTGTAAATCGTTTATTAAATCGTTTATTAAAAAAACACAACTTGCAGCTATAAGCTGAATTACTTGTATTATATACAACATGTTTAAAAATTCAAACTATAAAAATTCCTAACTATACTAGTATTAATTTTTTATTTACAATTGTTGTTTAAAAAACAACAAACATATGAAACATATGTGTGAACTGCGGTTATGAGACGTATATGAGAACGATCCTTCGCAGTAAAGCACTATTTGAGCAATAGTGAAAATCAGACCTGAAAAAAATTTCAGGCCTGTACGGGATTCGAACCACTGACCTCTGCGATACTAGTGCAGCGCTCTACCAATTGAGCTAACAAGCCAACTGGGAGCAGGCCATCAAATTAATTCGATATAAACCCGTAGATGATAAATCAAACAACAACAAACATATGAAACATATGTGTGAACTGCGGTTATGAGACGTATATGAGAACGATCCTTCGCAGTAAAGCACTATTTGAGCAATAGTGAAAATCAGACCTGAAAAAAATTTCAGGCCTGTACGGGATTCGAACCACTGACCTCTGCGATACTAGTGCAGCGCTCTACCAATTGAGCTAACAAGCCAACTGGGAGCAGGCCATCAAATTAATTCGATATAAACCCGTAGATGATAAATCAAACAACAACAAACATATGAAACATATGTGTGAACTGCGGTTATGAGACGTATATGAGAACGATCCTTCGCAGTAAAGCACTATTTGAGCAATAGTGAAAATCAGACCTGAAAAAAATTTCAGGCCTGTACGGGATTCGAACCACTGACCTCTGCGATACTAGTGCAGCGCTCTACCAATTGAGCTAACAAGCCAACTGGGAGCAGGCCATCAAATTAATTCGATATAAACCCGTAGATGATAAATCAAACAACAGTATGTGAACCGCAGTTCACACATATGTTTCATATGTTTGTTGTTGTTTGATTTATCATCTACGGGTTTATATCGAATTAATTTGATGGCCTGCTCCCAGTTGGCTTGTTAGCTCAATTGGTAGAGCGCTGCACTAGTATCGCAGAGGTCAGTGGTTCGAATCCCGTACAGGCCTGAAATTTTTTTCAGGTCTGATTTTCACTATTGCTCAAATAGTGCTTTACTGCGAAGGATCGTTCTCATATACGTCTCATAACCGCAGTTCACACATATGTTTCATATGTTTGTTGTTGTTTGATTTATCATCTACGGGTTTATATCGAATTAATTTGATGGCCTGCTCCCAGTTGGCTTGTTAGCTCAATTGGTAGAGCGCTGCACTAGTATCGCAGAGGTCAGTGGTTCGAATCCCGTACAGGCCTGAAATTTTTTTCAGGTCTGATTTTCACTATTGCTCAAATAGTGCTTTACTGCGAAGGATCGTTCTCATATACGTCTCATAACCGCAGTTCACACATATGTTTCATATGTTTGTTGTTGTTTGATTTATCATCTACGGGTTTATGTCGAATTAATTTGATGGCCTGCTCCCAGTTGGCTTGTTAGCTCAATTGGTAGAGCGCTGCACTAGTATCGCAGAGGTCAGTGGTTCGAATCCCGTACAGGCCTGAAATTTTTTTCAGGTCTGATTTTCACTATTGCTCAAATAGTGCTTTACTGCGAAGGATCGTTCTCATATACGTCTCATAACCGCAGTTCACACATATGTTTCATATGTTTGTTGTTGTTTGATTTATCATCTACGGGTTTATATCGAATTAATTTGATGGCCTGCTCCCAGTTGGCTTGTTAGCTCAATTGGTAGAGCGCTGCACTAGTATCGCAGAGGTCAGTGGTTCGAATCCCGTACAGGCCTGAAATTTTTTTCAGGTCTGATTTTCACTATTGCTCAAATAGTGCTTTACTGCGAAGGATCGTTCTCATATACGTCTCATAACCGCAGTTCACACATATGTTTCATATGTTTGTTGTTGTTTGATTTATCATCTACGGGTTTATGTCGAATTAATTTGATGGCCTGCTCCCAGTTGGCTTGTTAGCTCAATTGGTAGAGCGCTGCACTAGTNGAAACGAAATAGCCTTAACTGATAACCTGATACATACATTGAAGCATATATGTATAGTTTTCCAAATCTATTACGGGCGCGCACAACCAAAGTTTGTGCATTACTACATGCAACAAGATATCCATGTAATCATCATGTGTTCAACGACTGACTACCGAAGTAATTTTCCATCTTGGCAAGCTTAGTGAAAAGCTCCTGCAGTGTGCAAACCAACAGTTTCCATCATAAGAAGCGTGACTAATAAATGTTATATGCGCATTTAAAATTGAGTATAAAAATAATCAAAAGAAGAACCCCTAACTGAGATATGCAAAGTAGTGTAGGTCTTTTGGTCGTGCGATATGTCTCAGTGCTCAGGTTAGAAAGATGTAGTGTATTATTTTGAAAACTTTACACCTGGTTGTGTTCAGGGCAGGGAACAGTGGTTCGTTCGATGAGCTCAAACTATTTTCTAAGCTAAGGAAAAACCTTGGCTGCTGAACATTCAATAGCAACCAATTATGAATGTCGATTTAACGTGTCAGTACTAATTCACCACATCTCAAGACACCTGACTCAAAAATCTTTCTAAATGTCTCACTGAAAATTTCCATGCGTCCACCGGACTGAAAATTATACCTACCTATTGTCTTAGAGAGGACTTTCATAGAGTGCAT